TACCTGTTTTTTGCTCATTTTTGCCCTCCCCAGCTCCCAGAAGCACTCTGCAAGCCAAAAATGCTGTATTCAGTGTATAAGGCGCACCCAGATTTTTACCCTCTTTCTGGGGGGAAAAAGGTACATCTAATACTCCAAAAAATATGGTACCTTTTATAAGATTTATCAAGAAAAAAAGATAAGATAATGCACTGCCAAAACTTACTGAGATCTTCTGCTACCTCATCAAGACATATTTCATTACTTTTAGAAAAGTGAGGATAACTAGGATAGCGGGCTAAGAATTTATGACATAGCAATCCAAGGCTTTTCTCTTTACGGCTTGTTTGAGGCTTTTCATATTCATCTCCTGACAAATGATCCTGCAGAGAGAAAGGGGGCGGAGGTGGAAAAAGCTCTTCTATGACATTTTAAAATCCTCAAAATTTAACCAGCATTCCAGATTTTAAGTGTAACACAGGAGAATGGATTAAATCAGTACATTGTCAAGCAATGTACATTCAAAATACATATATAATTTAGCCTTTTTTACTTTTGTATAAAGCATATTTATTTAATTGATTTATATGCCGCTTCATCTCACTGTCGAAGCAACATTATCAATTACTACAAGTATGGCAAAATGAAACAAGAAAAAAGTTTTACCTCAAGGCTTTCACTTTTATTATCTGACCATTTTTTTCCCTGTTCTCGATTTCTAATCTCTGGACTAGCCGCACTGATCAGCATTTTAAGGTTAGCAGTTGGCGTCCATGGGTCACAAGAAGTGCTTTCATTGGGCTTTGGTGGTGTTGTCAGATGGTCAGAAGCAGTAGGCTGGATCTCTGCCAAAAGCCAATTAGAGGTAACTGTTTGTTTTAGAGGAGTTTTGACTGGGCTTCCACACACTCCAAAACATTGATTTTCCTAAGCCAAGAAAGAAAAAAGTAGAACAATACTAAGCATTAAAATGTGATTCAGAGACTGACTGCAATATTGAAATACATGCTTTTTGCCAAAATTGACCTTACTGTATTTTTTTTGGCCAAAATTGACTTATATCTTCTGGATTTGACAGAACTCACTTTTATTTAAAACAGCCTAGTCTACTTTCTTTGTCACCCTGAGCATTTATCAGAAGCGAAGATGATACAAGAATCAAGGATATTTTTGTCATGCTTTTTTTGGTTTAGTGTAGTATATAAAGAGCCCCAATGTGCCCTAGGTTTTCACTGCCTACCCATCATAAAAATTCCTGAATTGTTATATGTGAATGCAGTCAGTGCTCTATAGNATCTATACCAGTGTTTTTCAACCACTGTGCCGCGGCACACTAGTGTGCCGTGACATAGTGTAAGGTGTGCCGTGGGAAAAACACTTTATATATAGTCAATATAGGCACAGAGTTAAAAATTTTTAACATTTTCTAATGGTGGTGTGCCTCGTGATTTTTTTCATGAAAAAAGTGTGCCTTTGCACAAAAAAGGTTGAAAAACACTGATACTATAGTCCTAAATGGACATACAGACTTTAAAGAATGATAGAAAGTGTCAGATGCACATAAAGGTAGTCCTTGATTTACGACCATAAATAAAGTGAAGTATGGGTAAATGAATTTTTCCCCATTTATCTTTCTTGCTACAGTTAAGTGAATCACTGCAGTTGTTAAGTTACTAGTGGTCGTAAGTGTGAAAAATGGTCACAAATCACATTTTCAGTGCCGTTGTAACTTTGAGCAGTCACTAAAGGAACAGTTGTAAGTCAAAGACTACTTGTATTTGAGTTAATCAAATATGCAGATTACACATAATCATACACATGATTGAAAGAAGCATATCAAAAATAACTTCTTCAGTTCCAAAAATGACTTCATCAGTCACAAGATCATATATCTTCATTAAAAAAACCTCAACCAAACTAGAAAATTAATAATGTTATGATAGGCAGAAGGAAATCAATCAAGGCCGAAGTACATATTGTAGTCATACAAGTCATACAACACAAATGGGAGAGAAATTCCTGGGGCATTTCTTTTTAGGGGCCAGAACCAGAATAGTAACTTTCAAGTAAATACTTTTTGATCTGTAGCTAATTTTACATTAATATGGCAACAAACTGCAATTAGTGCATTTTTTTTCCTATTCACAATAAGGACAATTTGCAGGAGTTAAAGAAGCAAGGTATGAGAGAAATAACTCATAAAGCTATTACAATTTATTGACAATCAACTAGAACAGAGTTGGAAGGGACCTTGAAGGTCTTCTAGTCTAACCCACTGCTTAGGCAGGAAACCTTACACCACTTCAGACAAATGGATATCCAACATCTTCCTAAAGTCCAGTGTTGGAGCATTCACAACTTCTGGAGGCAAGTTGTTCTACTTACAACATGTTGAAAAAAGCCCCCAGGATAGTTAACCAATCATCCATAGAATTGTCCCAAACCAACTCTGACTACCCAAAACAGTGGTGGGTTACAGGCGGTATGCCCCGGTATGGATGTACCGGTGCCTGCCTGGAGCACCGGATACCGTTCCGAAATGCCCACCCACCCGCTTGAGCTCCTTACCTGTATTTGAGCTCTTCGGCGCCTCCACACACACGCACAGAGCGCACAGAGCCTGCGCGACACTCCGCCCAGCAGCTGGAGCGTCACGGAGGCATCACAAGAGGTAAGGACGCATGTGCGCACTGCGCACGTTCATGTGTTGGATGCCGGGCCCCGTTGTGACTGGTATGGTTGCAACGGGATCCGGAGCCCACCACTGACCCAAACCCTAGAGATTTCAGGCTGAACTCACAATATTTGTATCTAGAAACAAAATTTGGGGAGGTATTACAACAATACAACAAACAAGACAGAAGATACTGATTATGAAATCATTTGAAAATTTATCATGAAAACTTTTAAAAAATCAAGTTCAATTATTAATTTAAAGGAAATAGATTAAATAAACATTAAATTATATATTGCATTTAATTACATTGACATGATAAAATATCAAACTAGATCTTCCATATTTTTAAAACAGTCTAGGCTTGGTACTTGGACTGTGCTCTGTGTATTATTTACAAAAAAAAGAAAAGCTTTACATTTCATAAAGGTACAGTCAGATAGCCAATGAAATTCTAATTGACATATTTAAAATGTTTATGTATATCCTTCATTCAAAAAAAGAATAGCTCAATAAACTAATGTAGATAAAAGCAAAACAAAATCCAGCACAGGAAAAAAAAACATATCCCTATGCCTAAAAAAATTTCAAAGAACAATTTTAATGTGACAGAAACAATGTATTGCAATTATATTTGTTGAGGATGCAGTATTTTCTTTGAGAAAATATATATTCTGTTGATCCTCCAAGTATTCTTCAGCATTAGCAACCTTCCTGGGAAAATTCCTTCTGATTCACAAGATGATTAATGAGAGCTAGGATCTAGGCTTGGATCACTCAATGTTTCATTGCCTTTCTTAGAATCTTTGAATGTCACAGGAACACTGGTCTAAATGAAAGGGGAAAAATCAGCGTTATTTGCAAGCTAACCAGCTAAAGAAATGTATGTTCTTTAGCATGAAATAGACAAGAGGCACATTTAGTTTATAATTGTTAGTATGCAGATCATCTTATATGGGACTTGATGGGCACACAATTAGTCAGCATGCTGCTATGTATTTACTTTTCACCACAGGGAAGTGTAGAGTTTTTAAACAGTTGCTTGGATGCATATATGCTAAGATTTAGCCCAAAGGAAATGCTATGGATGGGTAACAATCAGACTTGGAAGGAGTTACAACTGAAGAACAAATGTCACAGCTAGCAGTTCTGCTAGATATACAGCAGGGTCCCCAACTCCGAATGGGCTGAGGCCCATTCAGAACCAGGCCACAGAAGTAGCAAGTGAGTGTGTGCATGCAACTCCATTTGTGGAAGTGGTGGGCGCTTGTGCTAGCTGACATGTGGAACCACCACTTCTTGCCTTCCCCCTGCCAGTTCGCAAAGCCGGAAGGGTTGGAGACCGCTGGTTTAGGGTGTCTGACTGTTATCTGCGTCTAATCACTTTTGCCTCTTTGTGGAAAGCTTAGAATTATGGTGTTAGTCATGCACTGATGTCATGCAGATTAGATATTACAAAGGATTTTATGCTGCTTTTAAGGACCGTTAATAAATGTCAGTTGGATCAGAGAGCAGCCAGTTGGATGCATGTTCTGGCCAAGGATTAGTAGTACAATGTACAGCTATTTTATCAATTGCATTAGGCTGCAATTTCTAGGATCAATGCTAGCTCACTGAAAGAAAACATCTCAGGTGAGCTCCAGAATTGGAAATTTTATGCAAGTCTCTCCAACATTGGTTTAGCAACTCTATGTTAATGCAAGGGAATAAATCCCCTTCAGAATAATTAGGCGTCTCAATGGAATACATTAATATATTTAGTCTTATTAATTAATTTCTTATTATTAATTTCTATCGTTCCTAATATCCCCTTCAACTAATAACAAAATTTGTATAAGGAAACTTAATTCTATAAACCAGAATATGCCAGGCAGGCTTTTGAATTTATAAAAAAATAAAAAAATAAAAAACCTCACAAATCAAGTAATTGGTTGGTTCACTTCCTTCTCCTAAAGTTTCCAATAAAAATGACTATAAATTAATAAGAGAACAGTAGTTTCATTTCTCTTGAAGCTAGTAACATATTTTCAAATTTGGCAATAGTATAAGGTAAAATTTATGTTTGTTTTTTTCAAATTTCATTATAAAATGAAAAGTAACAGAATATGAGACAACTTTTGGACTTGCACACAAGTATATATGGGATATTGAGGCACTTTTAAAAAGTATTACTGTAATGTACAGTATATACTTGTTATCAATTGATATACAATGTGAAATATTTATCTAGACTTCAGATTGCAGTATGTTTGGCTGCTTCTTGTTACAGGCTTAAGCAATGCAAGTACTGTGTAGGCTTCCGATTAGAAAAAAGCAAAGCAATTGCAATCTTCAATTTTTCCAACACTATTTTCGCAATAGTCTGATGCGTTTTATATACTTTTTAATCAGATAATTTTGCTAAGGCAATTATTTTACATTCTAAGAGCCAAAGCAGATGACCAGCCAGTTAAAAGCTCAAGGAATTCTCCAGTATTTCAATATCATATATCAAATTATAGGGTTCTGCAAATCATTGGAACAAAGCTTGCATGCACTTTCCCATTTTCCAAGGGAAAAAACAAAAAAAAATTAACTGAACCCACAAATAAAAGCAAGAGGTAGCCAACAGTAGTTTCCAAAGCAATTTTGCAAGCCTGGAAAAATATAGTTTTTAATTATTTAAATAAAAAATGCTTTATATATTCTTCTGTGCCTTTTTGAAAAGATTTGCAGAGTCCCCATTACTTAATATTTTTGAAAAGATTCTTCTTACCTCCTGAGGAGTGGTTGGAACCAATTCTCCATGTAAATCTCGGTAATCCCTTAGTAATACAGTCGCTTGCTGCAATCCTACAATTACTGGAACAGGACTAATATGTTCTGTTCCTTGACAAATGAAAGCAGATCGATGTACGTCATCTGCAGACATCTGTACATTGGCTGGCATCATTCCTAACTGTTGTAGCATAATGTTCAGAACTAAGGTGCTCTGAGGCGGGGTAGGATTAACATGGACTGACTCAACAACCCCATTCCCTGAGGATGTGGTTGCTACAGAAGGTGGTGGTAGTATTAGGTTAAGAGGTGTTATATGAAAAGTAGGGTAATTAGATGTCTCTGGAATTCGACCTATAGCAAAGAAGAAAGAGAACACACTATTATAAGGGAACATGCTTTATGCCATGTAACTTTTATTATTAATATGCAAAAAGCAGTTTAGTACAGCCAGCTACTGTGAGTTTGGAGAAGGTGGCAATTAAGCATAAAGAAGCAATGGGTTTTAAGAGCTATTAATTAGATCTGACCAAACCTCTATGCAGCCAGAAACTTTCATCTATAAAGTCATTTTATCTGGCTTCATTGCCTTAAAACCTGTATTCTTTAACTGCTGATAGAAAATGTCAAAATGAATTAACTTTGGAAAAATCCTGTGATATGATCAACGTATACTTACCTAGATTAGCGGAACTAGAGGATTTCTTTTCCACTGCACACAACTCTGTTTCCCCCTTACTGGTTACAGCAACGTCATTGGGGACCTAAAGTAAGGTAATAGCGGGAAGAGATAATTGGACTAGAATTCATAGTTGCTGGTATTTCCAACAAGTTGTAACCTTAGTCTGCATGTAACAGAGTATAAAACTAAAGAACAAAAATGAGCATGTATCTGTATTGGCCAACATTGCTTTCTCCTGCATTGATCTTGAAGTTATTTTCATACTTTAAGTTGGTATAAAAAGAAAAATCATTTGAGTATGTATTATTAAACTACTGAGCCTTTCAGAAGAACAATATCTAAGTGTATAATGTCTGACAGAGAATGTGCCTTTGGTTTAGCACTGTGATAGCGAACCTATGGCATGTATGCCAGAGTTGGCACGCAGAGCCCTCTCTGTGGGCACTTGGCTGGTGCCAGTTGCTCTTCTGGTTTCTGGTGCTCACATGCATGCCAGCCAGTTGGTCTTCGCAGGTGCCAGAAAACAGCCCCAAAACAGGCCATTTTTCAGGCTGCTTTTGGCTTGAAAAACGGCCAAAAAACAGGCATGTGCATGCCAGCCAGCCGGTCTTCGGATTTCCGGCATGTGCGCATGCACACAAGTTCCGGTTTGGGCACTCAGTGCCGAAAAGGTTCACCATCACTGGTATAGCAGCTGCAAATCCTGGAGGCATTTTGTGTGGTCTGCTGACTTGATCATACTGAAAAGTATCTCCCTACTTCTGTTCGCATCTGAATTTCACTTCTCTGGGTATATTTTTATTTTGCTTAGTTACTGGTGAAATTAAGACTTCCTGATTTACGTGAGAAGTTACAGAACCCTGGTGGTTTTTATCATTAACAGACTTACCCTGAAATATATAGAAAATCAGAATTTTGCTTTAGAGAGCTCTGGTATGTTTTAAATATATAATATTTTGGTTGCTTTTTTCACTTAGAAAACTATTTTCGTGGGCAAGAAAAAATAATGCAACGGAAAGGGATTGCAACAGCTGCATTTATTAAAGCTTTCTTCTGTGATTTTTCTAGTATTGTATGTAATTTAAGAATGACTTGTGAAATGTTGTTAGGTTTTTCTGAAACAGAAAATTATTTAAAACATGGAACAATTGCACTTAAAGATAGCTTACCAGCAGTGAATCTTGAAGCTCCACCTTTTTACTCTTGCATTTTTTAATTGGACTATCCTCTAGCTGCAACTTAGATCTTTTAAAACATTTCTCAGATATCATGTTATCTGTTGTTCCACTGGGTTCTTTAGTTAGCCAGAGTTGCAGCTCTTCAGCTTTTTTCCAATCATTAAAACTGTCTTTAGTAAATGTTTCAGTAAGAGCTTCCATGGGAGTCTTAATTTTAGTCACATGAGTAGTAGAAATAGGATATACCATGTAATTTGGGTATGTTGTCACTAGTTGGGACGGATTCAAATATGCTGCACAAGGTACAGTAGAAAGGACAGGTGGAAGTATTGAGTTGGAGGTCGGGGATAAGTTTGGACCTTGAGAAGGCAACAAGACTGCTTTGGGCTTCAAACAAGATTCAGAAGGTGACGTGTGCTCCAATTTATTTTTTATCGTTTCAAATTCCCTAAAAAAAAAAGTTATGTTTAATTAGTGTTAAGTCTTTAATCAAAATTTTCTCTGCTGTAAGTTTTCTCTGCTGGGAGACATCATCAATATTAGATCTTTTTACTTGGACAATAACACACACACACACACACACACTAACTACATTATTAAGTGTATAAAAAGTCAATAGACTTCAGATTTTAGAAACTGTTATGATATTACTATGTCATAATTATGTTAACTGTTGGTATAAACAACAGCTATAAATGGCTGATNTGCTCTATAGGGATATGCAAAAGAGACTACAGAGTACTCCTTTTGAAAATGTAATGTATTACATTGTTTAGAATGCTAATAATGAATTAGTATAGTGAAACACAGTGCAGTTATATAAACTGTTACAAGAGGACATGGTGTTTCTATATTCATGCTGTTTGAACAGTGTTTGTAGAGGTATGGGACAAATTTGGAATATCTGACATCATTCAGTTCAATTGGATAGACAATGTTGCAGCACCTAGCTGAAGGTAATAAAATATTATCCTTTAGTATAACTCTTTGAAACACTTAAATATTTATATATTTGAAATTACTGATGTCACCCTTTTCCTCATTGTTTTTACAAATATTGCAAAGCCCACACTGACCACTATAGAATAGTTACTATGTTTATTAACTATTTCAATCAAAAAATATTGAGTGTCTATGGTATAGGACAGGGGTGTCAAACTGGATTTTTTTTGAGGGATGGATCAGCATTGTAGTTCTCTTTGGGCTGGAAGGGAGCAGGGGAGGGAGACGGGACGGACGCCCCCTGCAGGCCAAAATGGGATGTGGAAGAGGATACAGGTGGCCCCCTCTGCCCCATTTTTAGCCTGAATGCGCCCCACCCCCCAGTGTCCCATTTTCACCCTCCCTGGTCTCCAGCAGCACACTACAGGCCAAAAACAGGCTATGTGGTAGCCTCCCGAGGCCTGTTTTTGGCCAGCAGAGTGGTGCTGGAAGGCAGGGGAGGCTGAAAACGTGTGGCAGGAAAGCCAAAAATGGGGGAGGGGGATGTGGCCTGTTTTGTCCGGCAGAGGCACTGCGGGCCAGTCCTTTGATATTTCTAGGCTGGCCCTGTGGACCAGATTTAAGTATCCTGTGGGACGGATTCAGCCCATGGGTCTTGATATCCCTGGTATAGAAGATGGATATCTGAATGAATAAAATTATATAACACCATACATAAATCTTTTCTTAAATGCAATAATTGCATGGCAATTGTTTATATGGCAACACCAACAACTAGATATTCCAAAGGCTTCAATCTAACCATGCTATAAACACATATGTTTCTGAAAGATTCTTAGCTCTTCCTCACTCGCACATTGAGTGCATCTAATTCAAGGGGCCTGTCATCCACCACTATATTGTTAATCATTTTATTTATTTTTTCTATTCAAGTGTTTTACTTGATAAAAAAGATGAATGGTTTATTTCTGTTTTAAGTTCTAGAATTTATAGGGGTGCCTATCTTCTATACAATAATCCTAGACAGCTCACAACAAAACTCATACAACAGCAAATCTACTCTTACAAAGGATGTTTTTCTAACATCCCATCGACTCTACATACGTTGATCCATCTCAAATTACTCCAATGGTCTTCACTGCTTTCTGAAAGGCTAAAAAGAGAGGGACTCTGCAGATCACATGTAAGAGACCGTTCCAAATGGCCAGGGCAGCAATAGAGAAGGCACACATCTGAGATCCCACTGGATAATAACATTTAAGGGAAGGAGCCTGAAGCATGCCATCTCATCAAACCAGCTTTCTGTATTTAATGCATTAATGTACTTAACATAGATGCCTACTAGCTTTAGCTGGACAGCTGTGTGACTTTTATGCCATGAGTGACTCTCTGAGATTATATATTCTTGACATTTACACCTGTCAACCTTTGCACATCCCTCCCAGAAACACTTTCTATGATGAGACAACCAAGCATGACTCGAGGGAGAGGAACAGTTTCTCAATGTCTACAAATAACTCCTTGCCTTGATTTCTGTGCACATATAGGTAGAGTGTAATTTCCTTTTTTCATAAGAGAAACTGACAGTACTGCAACTTTGAAGCATATTATACTTGACAGTGTATACAATTGTTGTAAAATTGTCTTAAAATAGCCATAGGCAAAAAAAGAAAGACTTAAGAGGACAACATCAGATAGGGAAGGAAAAATGTTTGACCCTAGTAAGCTATTTTCTTATCTCCTTCTTTTATGTCAAGAGTGACATATAGCTGTATTGCTCAATCAAATGACAGGCTATCTAGAACATAACAATGAATAATCCTGGAGTTGCCTCAGATATTCTTACTACCACAAACAACATTGGCCTATAGTTTGAATATAAGTGATGACAAAAGATAGTTTGAAAGGACTTAGATAAATTACCTTGTTCTCTTTATTCATACTGCCACTATTAGCTTCAGCCTTGTATACATTTGTTCAATTAAACCTTACGTTGGCTTATGTTGGGATACCATTTTTAGCATTCTGAAAGAAAAATAAATAAATTAGTTAACACATGAACTTTTAAGGAAGTAATTAGAATTGGAGAGAAATCTGGGTTTAAATTTACTGTAGATATAAACATTTTTAGACCAGTGCTGTTGTTTTTCCTGCTACTTCAGAATGTTTTATATGCAATTGGCATAATAAAAATTGGTATCTCTTTCTGGTATTTCTTTTTATGGTTGCCCATCTCATCCAAGGTGACTGAGCAATATCCTGGTCTATCCTTCTGAGGCTTATTGAAAAACATTGTATAAAAACTTATTTTACCCTAGCCACAATGGGTGGTAGATGTTAATATTTATGGGCCTTATCTATGTTATTTATGGTATAGAAGATTTTATATGCTTTGCATAATATTGCTTCCACTAAAAAGTATTAATGTGAGGGCATAGTTGGGCAGTAAATAAAGACTATGATTTTCTAAAAGAAAATGCAATATTCTTAAACAGCAGTTTGGCCACTTGGTCTTTTGAGCAGGATTTACCATTTCTCTAAGTTTTGTGGAAAATGTGTGGGAATGGATAGAAGTGGTAACTCACAGAAGTACAAAATAGGATTGTAAGGGTAGCGTAGAAGGAACTACATTTAATTCAACAGACCTTGTACAGGTACTCCTTGGCTTATGACCACAATGGAGCCCAGAACTTATGTTGCTAAGTGAGAAATTTGTTAAATGAATTTTGCCCCATTTTACCATTTTTCTTGCGACATTTGTTAAGTGAATCACTGCAGTTGTCAAATTAGTAACATGGTTGTTAAGTGAATTTGGTTGACTTTGCTTGTCAGAAGATTGCAAAATAGGATCACATGCAACCATCTGCAACCGTCATAAATATGAACCAGCTGTCAATCATCTGAATGTAACTCATGTGACCATGGGGATGCTGCAAGAGTCATAAGTGTGAAAAATGGTCATAAGTCACTCTTTTCAGTGCCATTGGACAGTAGCTTTGGACGGTCACAAAACAAACTGTTGTAAGTCGAGGACAACCTGTATTGCTGTTTGAGATAAATTTTACAAGGGTCTGTTTTCGTACAAGAGAAGTTGCCTCCAAATGTGTTGTATGACTAGTAGCCTAACAATACAATGACTGCTGGGCTTACAATAACACAAACATTTCCAGCTTTCACAAGGCATCTTTACATTCGTGTTTATGACACTCAAGGGCAAGCAGTTTCACATTGAGAGATGTTTGTGGTTGTGCTTGATTTTCTAACTCCTTACACAGGTCGGTCGAGACTACATTAAGCAAAATCAATGCAGTAGCTTAAAAGAAGTCCTTCAAATGATCCATCAGTATTGTTGTATGTACACTGAGAATTTATGCCCCGAAGACATATTCCTTGTGTGTCCAATCAACTTGACCAATAAAGAATTCTAATTCGCCTCTAACACGCACCGAGGTTTTTTTTAAGTCGCCCTGTTGCTCCCTTCCCTTTATGTTGGACTGCATTTTACAGTATTTTAATATTAATTTTTAAAAATTTAATAAAGACCTTTTTAAAAGACTCTACAAAAGTTTGTTGTCGCTGTTTTCTATTTTGTTCCAATAAACCCAACTCCTCAATGCTTCCAAGAACGGGTTTTAATTTTATTTTACCAAGCTTGGACGGCGCCCATCTCGCGACTGAAGTGCCAGCCCTTGCCCAGCAACCCTCAGCTGCGGTACCGTCCCTTCCCTCCAGTCCACTCACCTACGTACTTCGGACGAAACAACCCTCACACCCCGCCACTAAACTTCCTTCTTCGCTTTCCAACTTGAGAATTCTGCCCGCGCTCCATCGTTCGGACGGGCCTCCGCCCTATTCTTCGCAATCTCGTTTCTCATTGGCTCTTGAGAGAAGGGGGCGGAGTCATCTTGCCGCTCCGTTTCAAACGTTTGGCGCCACCGGGCTTGTATTTGGTCTAATCATACGTCCCCAGGGTCCTAGAATTTGCTCCCCTTCCGCCTTTAAAGGCATCGCTACCGCTATTTAGACCGAACGCGCGCCTTCAACCTGATTGTTGTTGTTTTTTGTCCCCCCTCCCTTGCTCCCTCTCTTCCCAGAGCGATTTGAATTCAGCAGGCAGAAGAGTACAGAAGAGACAGAAAGTTTCCAACCAATCCAGAAGGTTTCCCATCTTGGCCAATCAGCGTTCTTTCCCTTGGAGTGGGAGGTGAAACGGGGAGGGAGGCGGGAAGAAAACTGAGAGTTCGTTCGGTGGCGCCTAGAAATTGCGGGACGATATAAAAGGGGAAAAAACTTCCCTGTGTAGCTTTGGGTGTATTTTTGCATTCCTCGGTCTCCCGGATTGGCCAGTTGACGTTTCAATACCAGGGACACGTGAATCGACTGAATACGTGTGAAGCACTTCATCTGCTTTCTTGCAGAGGAGAGAAAAAGACAGGCTTTCCTTAAGCGACTCCTTAGCATCTCTCTGATTTCGCTACTTTTTTAAAAAGGAAGAAAATGTTGGTCCAGTAATATTGTTCCTTCCCATTAAAGGTAAAGGTTCCCCTGGCACTTATGTGCTACTCGTTCCCGACTCTAGGGGGCGGTGTTCATCTCTGATTCAAAGCTGAAGTACCAGCACTTTCCGAAGACATCTCCGTGGTCATGTGGCCGGCATGACTAAACTCCAAAGGCTCACAGAGCGCTGTTACCTTCCCACCAAATGGTTCCTATTTTTTTATTTGCATTTTTACGCGCTTCCGAACTTGGCAGAAGCTGGGACAAGTAACGGGAGCTCTCTCCGTTACATGGCACTAGAGATTCAAACCGTCGAACTACCGACCTTTCTGATCAATAAGCTCAGCACCTTAGCTACTGAGCCATTGCACCCCTGTTCCTTCCCATACAGAACTGGAAATCACAACATACAGAAACCCAACAAAAGATGTTCTGTTCTACTGTTCTTGTGGAATTTATTTGTTTATTGTTTTGAACAGCTTTTAAATTGGGAGAGAAGGATAGAAATAAGATAAAGAGGGCCAAACTCTATATTCCTTAGGTGAGACATTTCAGTTGTAAAGGAAAACTGGATTTCAAATCCATAACCTTGGGCTAATCATAATCCAGATTTACCTCTGGTTTGTTAATGCTGATAAAATGAGTTAACCTTATCATTGATGCTTAATCGAAGAATATAAGTGAAGAAAAGAAAGAGAAAAAATAAGGTAGTCTATCAATGCAAACAGCTTTGTTCTTGCTTTCTGTTTACATTTTAAAACATCTGCACCAGAGGCATTTGCGAAATTCATCTATTAACACAGCATAAAAATACTAAACAAAAACAAAGGCATCCTAATAAAAATGTAGACAAAATTTAATATGAATTTCTATCATACGGGATAAAAATTCTATCTTCCCCTCTCTAGAAGATGTTTTGGAAGGAGAGCCATCTCAGGATTTTATTTTTCATAAACTGATTTTACATATATTTTCCAGAATGTATGAAATAAATTCCTATAAGTAGGAAAAATAGAATACCAGTAGTTTTCGACATACAATTTTTTTGTTTGGGGACCGTTTGAAGCTACAATAGCACTGAAAAAAAGTGACATGATTATTTGAAGCATCCTCATGGCCATGTGATAAAAATTTGGTGACTGACTCCTTTATGACGGTTGCAGTGTCCCGGGCTCATGTAATCATTTTTTGCGACCTTCTGACAAGCAATGTCGATGGGAAATCAAGGTTCACTTTAAAACTACGGTATATGACTAACAAAACAATGCAGTGATTTACTTAAATGCTGGAGGAAAGGTCGCAAAATGAAACAACAGCTCACTTGACAACTGTCTCGCTTAGCAACAGAAATCTTGGGCTCAATTGTGGTCGTAAGTTGAGGATTGCCAGTACTTCAGTTTTCTAATCTGTAACACTTTTACTGCCAGAAGTGAACTGTAAAGAGAAATATTAATAAAATGTAGTAAATTATCCTATTCTGAGTGGTGCAGAAGCAGTTTTGTCTCCTGAGACACTGGCAACTTCAGTTCTTACTGATCTTTCTTTTAAAATAATAATAATAAATTTTTAAAAAATCTTCAATTTACAACCACAATTGGAACCAAAATTTCTGTTGCTAAGTAAGGCATTTGTTAAGAGAGTTCTATCCAGTTTTTCCATGATTGTTATGGAAATCACTGGAAGTAAATCATGTGATCCTTAAGCGAATCCAATTTCCCTCATTGATTCTGTTGGAAGTTGATTGGGAAGGTCACAAATATGATCACCAGTTGCTCCAACCATCATAAATACATACCAACTGCGAAGTAATTGATTTTTGATCATATGACCATGGGGATACTGCAATGATCATAAGTGTGAATACTGGTCGTAAGTCACTTTTTCATGCATTTGTAACTTTGAACAGTTGCTAAATGAATGGTTGTAAGTCGAGGACCACCTGTACTCCAAAGCTCTTGTACTTCTATTATGTTCTTAGCAATATAATAGTAGAAGCAGAGTCACAATGTCTCCATTTGAAATGCTGTGTAGTTTTCAACCCAGATTTCTGTACCTTGTAGAAATTTGACACATGATCTGAAACTACTTAGGGAAGGATTGACTCGGTGCTGAGTGTATGCCAAAAGTGTCAGGTGCTCCTGGGCATGGGTGCAAATTATGGTTAGTGTCTCATGATACAAACAAACCATTTGGTGGGTGATAAGAATTGGGTTGACTTGAATTTATTTCTAAGATTTGGGGAATAAGTAAGGATAACACTCCTCAAATACCTGATTTCAAAGCCAGAGAATGTAATATTATGTTTAAGGAAGAAAGGAAATTGATCGTAATTAGATTTTGAAATGCTGTTTTCCCCTAGCCGAGCAAATCAATTTGCTTTGTTCCCAAGTGATTCCAATAAAAAATAATCTCACTTATCTGACATTCTTTGTTCTAATAATCACTGGGTGATTTGGTTTATACTGATTGTTTCAGTTCAACAAATTTTTAAATTGTTAAATACATTTGCTTATTTACTGGGAAAACATCCTGTAAAACTCAAATGAGTCCAATTAAAACAGCAGTACATTGGTATATGCTATAAAAATGATGTAGTAAAAATGTCTTGTGTTTGAATATAAGAATATTTAATAGGATAGCTCTATCTGATGTAAATCAAGTGTATTTCTAGTGAGGATATGTACATAAACCACATGACAGGTCATTCTTGAAACATGCTCTGGCATTTGGTTTACTATGCTTTAGATCAGAAGTGTCAAATTCAAGGCCCAGGGGCCAGATCCAGCCTGCAGGGAGCTTAGATCTGGTCCACGGGGCTGCCCAGGAAACAGTGATGGACTGGCCCGCAATGCCTCTGCCAGTGAAAAAAGAACTCAGGAGGACTGTGAATGGCCCTCCCGAGCTCCGTTTTCTCTGGCAGAAGGTTGCAGGAGCTCATTTTCACTGGCAGAGCACTCGGGCCACCATAGGCGCCCTCGACATGAGTGATGTCAAGCTGCCACACTCACCCTGGCCCCACCCACCCTAGCCCCCCAAAGTCGAACATAACTCTGATGTGGCCCTCAATGAAATTGAGTTTGATACCCCCGATTTAGATGGTGCTATGCTGTGAACTCTGGAACTTTTTCCTTCAAAGTATCTTTTATTGAGTTTAATGCAGCTTACTCTATAATAAATGTGAATGGAAATGCAAGCTTATACATGTTTATTTAACAAATCTCAGTGTCTTCAATGGAGCCTACCATAAGACAATTTACATAATTTCATGTGTTATTTCATAAATAGCATGGCGGGTCCTGAAAGTAATGTAGTGAAGATTTTCATATCTTTCTTTCTGGGCAAGTCTCACTGAGTGGGAATTTTCTAGAAGTAAATGTTTCCTCAATAATCATATTCTCAAGTTCGCTTCCACAATTAGGATCACAGCCTCACCTTTGTGATTTTAATTTAAAAATGCATGCATGTAAAACTATGTGTGCTAAAAAAAAGGCACTATCCTTTGGAACATGTTTGTATTAGCTTAGTTCCGCTAAAAGAAGTTACTGGAAAGTTACACAAAAACTAGTTTGTCTGGAAAAACCTGAGTTAATTTTAAGATAGATTTTGCTAAGGTACATATTTTTCCTCACTTTAGAGGCAGCTTTTTTAAGCATAGAAATGTTTGGGTTTTTTTTTGAATATTTATGGCCTTTTATGGCTTTATTATTAAAATAATCAGTTAGGAGATAATGGTTGTAAGGTCTTTTTAGTGATAAGTATTGTCTTGTGTGAGACTGATTATGTACTATTAAGAATCTAGAAGAAAATGTTAAACAGAAAGCATTGATAAATGTTTCAGTATATGGAAAAGTTCTATGCAATTTATTGTGGAAAAGCTAGGGTTTAGAATTTTAGAATACAGTGCATTGTTGCTTATGGTAGATGGCAGCTCTTTGATGATCTTGAAAAAAGCTAACCAAGGTCAGTTAGTACCTGGATGAGAAGCTGCCAGAAAATTCTAAGACTTAAAGCTAGAAGCTAGAAACAAGCAACAGCAATCTACCTGCATACAGTATAGGTAGTCCTTGACTTCCTGGGGACGTGGCCTGTTGCCGAGGAGGGCTCCACCGAGCTCCTCAGAGATCTGGTTTGTATATCTAATTGAGATCATAGATAGCACCCCTTTTTGGCTAAGAAAGGGGCAGGGAGGATAGCTCCGTAGGCTAGGGTCTATTCGTAAGCCACAGCCTTTTTCTTTTTTTGGCTGTGGAAAGAGATTAGATCCAGCCGAAGCGGAGCGTTTATCTCCAGCCATTTCTTCTCAG